AGCAATAAATACTGTCGCAATGAGTTAAATAAAGTTATATTAAAAATTGCATTTAATCCAATCTGTTTGAAATTTCTAAAAAAAACTGAGCAGAGCAGTAATTCATCATAAGAGAAAAAATACAGAAAACTAAAAAAATTACTACTTGAAAAAAATAATACACATTCTAAAATCATTATAAAAAATATCACAATTCAAAGAACTGCACTAGATTAGTGAACCAATTTCTAGACACACTTTGGTTCTTATTAAGTAATATAGTCTTTAAAAACAGAATACAATTATATTTATAATTATCCTTACGTATATTAAATTAGCCTGAATGTCCCCTTTTTGAAATCACCAGATACATAAAAAGGACTGCAAAAAGAGAAGATAAAATATCATACCCTTAAAGTAACCAATAGTTTTTGAAAGCTAAGTTTCTAACAATTTCAACTTAATATAAAACTTTCTGCTATCTTTAAGATTTTGTTTTGCCACTTTATGATTCCTAAAATATACTCAGAATGATTTAACTATGTTAAAATATATTCCTGAAGTATAATAAATAAAATATTGCACTATTTTTGTAAAGTGAATTCTCTTTCATTTACTTTATATTTTCAAACTTTTAGAGAAATGTTTCCCCTCATAGTTGATAACTGAAAGGACTAAAAAAGACTGAAAATAGTTATGCACCAGTAAGATGATATGTTTGCCACTTTCACTAGCTGGCTGACTAATAAAGAATAGAGAAATAGCATAAATATGTAAGGTAACTCAGGGATCCATATAATAGGGCATTTTTCTTTTTAGAATATAAATGTATTAATTGAATGCACAGAGAAGAATGTTTATGAAGTCATATATCTTCTGTCAATGTTAATTATACTTTTTCTTATTATGCTAAAAGTGTTGACAAAAGAAAAATTCTGAGATGTCCTACATTACATTACAGCAGGGAATGAAAGAGACAAGAGTATTTAATCAGTTAATAGCTATGAGACAACTAACAATAGACTGCTCACATTCCTGAAAATATGGCGGAGCTCTGAATCAACTGTAGTGTCTGCCAGACACCACCACATCCTGCCTATGTATGAACTTTCATGACTGTTTCTCACAACCAAACAAAAGAAGTAAATATCTCTTCCTTATTAACTGTGCATCTATCCTAGAACTGCCCCCACTTCACCTTTTCCCACCCTCCCTTATCTGTAGCCAATGTAAGTTCTTTCAAATCAACTTACATCTTTCTTCCCTAAAATGTAATGTATAAAAGTGCCCATCAACTCCAGGATGGCAAACAAAAATGTCTTTTCTACCTGGCCATGTTGCTGGTGGTTTAGACTTCATGCCCAGGACCTGGTTCTTCTCTAGTTAGCATTTGGCTAAATAAACATTTTTTAGAAAAGCTTTCAGCTGTGAAAGTTTTTTTCTTTAACAGTGTACTCCATGCACCCAATATATTTTGGCCTCTAGGACAGACATAAAAATTCTTATTGCAGGATATCTCTGACATGTTACAGGAATATTACCTAGTACTCCATACTTATTCTAAAAGCAAATTAAATTATATAAACAAATAAGCTCTTGAAATGATTTCTAATACTAAAACCACATAGTTTGCCCCAGGAAAATTATGTTTTTAGTTACAGCAGTTACCAGAGTCTACCAGAGAAACAATAATATAAAAAGTGTGTGTGGGGATGCAGGGGGGTGGGGGGAATGGAGAGGAAGATAAAAGACGCCCTTTGCAATTCATCATTTTAGCTCGTATCCCTGAACCCAAGTTTCTATATTACTTGTAAAGAACCTAATTTTATTTTCAAAACAAAATTTTGACTAATAATAGAATGAAATGTACAAAGAAATAAAGAGCCAATCAAATTTTGATATAATTATTTTAAAATTACCTATAAGAAAAGGATATGAAGACTACATTTCCTTCTTATAACACTTAAGTTTAACAAGGTACTATAAACTAATGTCAAATGGCATAATTTCTCACCCAATATAGCTACTATAAAAGCCATTATCTTTATGCATAACTTTTCAATATGTCCCCAAGTCCTTCATCTTTGTACTGGGTCTTTCTGATGTGTATGTGTGTTCTGCCTCTGTACCTTTGCTCTTGTTCTTGCCTGAATAAAAATGCTCATTTTTCAAGGTTCAACTCATGTCCTACATTCTCTACAATGCTTTATAAAAAACATCTGAATTGCCTGATTTCTCTTTTTTCTGCTTAATTAATAAGCACATTAAAATGTAAATTATTTGTAAGCCAAAAGATCTTCTTAAAACATTAAGAGTAATGCGCATTTTTTTGAGTATGTATGATGCAACTAGAGGCACTGTCATTCAATATAACCAATAACCCTATAAAGTTGGTACTAATATTATAATTTTATTGATAAGGAAATCGAGTGCCAAATAGGTTAATTTTCCCAAAGATACATAGTTAGCAAGTGGTAAAAAGTCTAAATTCAAACCCAATGCCATTTGGTTCCGAATCCTATGAAAAAGAGTACATTCGACAAAATATTATTCTGTCCAGTGCACCAATTCTTACTGACAAGAAAGGTTAATGCACCATTCGAAATAACTAAATTTTACTTACTATTTCAAAGGAAATTTTCTTTTAGGCTTTAAACAACAACATTATCATTTGACTATAAAATGCTATTCTTGAAAATTCACTGTAAGAGTTCCAGAGTATTCTAGCCATTTAAATAATACATAAAAATTACAATGCCAGAAAACAGCATAGGGAATGCAGTTAGCATTAATATGATGGCTAGGTGGAGGGCTGGAGGAGGGAGGGAGCAATTGGGGGATCGTTTAATGAACTATATAGATGTCTAACCAATGTACTGTATACTTGAAACTATTTTAAATAAATAAATTTTAAAAAATTATAATGCCTTCATAGGTAAGCTATTATTGAAAAGCTTTTAGATTAGGATAAAATAGATATTAAGAACCCATTGTTTAATAATGTCCTAGACTATCTACATGGATAATACTGTATTTTTTGATTTTTGATTCCTCACGTTAATGAATAACAATTATAGAGATAACTCAAAAGTAATACATTAGAAATGGTTTATAGTCCTATTTAAATGAAATTCTATTTTACTTATTTCAAAAAGGATTTAAAACAGGTTACAATTAAGAGTAATAATGACCTGGTAATCTATAGCATTCTAAAGGAGTAATGAACCACACGGATCAAGTTCCATCAAAACTGAATTACTTGAACATTTTTGCTAAACTAAAAGATTCCTAAAGTTATGAAATAAGCAAGAAAAAATATAATGACATTTCAATTATGACTATATCAGGTAATATCAAGGATTAGTCACCAAGAATTTAATAAATTTTTGTTCCTAACCCTAGGGCCATTTGCCTTCAAATACTGGTAAAATATTATGTATCTGATATGATAGTGACAATTTTTGTTTGTAAGTATAAATCTGGAGGTTAATTTTAATTTATTCTTCTTTGTAAGATTTAGACCATGTTGTCTTTTGAGAAAATATCAAGTCCACTTTTCATTAAAAGAAAAACTTTACATAAAGTTGAAGGATTTAAAATCATTTCAGACTTTCCTGTCATCATTTCCTTAACAAATTTTCAATATAAAAGTTTATGAATCACTATACAAATAATTTCCAGAAATGATCAAACTCATTAAAATTCTATTAGATAACAAAATTACTCGTTCAAACACCCTAATAATCTTCTTTCTAACTCTTAATCATGCCGATATAGTTATCTTTCTTTATTACTGTACCTGATAAGCATAAATTTCTATAGGTGCATGCCTATAATTACCTCCAAAATATAAATAACTGTGAAAAAGTCAAACAAATTAAAAATAAATAAAATAGTACATTAACTTTCATTAATAATTAATATCTATTAAACATATTAATTTAATTTCTTCTTAGATGTCAGATACAAAAGATAATACTTGTTTGACACTTAAAAAGTAAGATATTCCTTATCTTTTCTTTTGAAAAAGTGTGCTAAAATAAACGAAATTATAAGCATGAAATCAGAATAATCCTAGATTTAGAGAGAACAATTAAATTTATGAATATTGACAGCAACATTTCATATCAGTTGGTTTAAAAGCCCCTAAGTATTTTTCCTAAAATTAGTTTCAGATGCATACAAAGGGACTCCTGAGTTCCCTTGTTATTTCTTCATAGCATTCTCTGAATAGTAAATTAAGCTTTTTTTCCTAATCCTTACCTCAAACCCATTACATAGTTTGGGGGAAATATCATAGCATTTTCCATTTTATATATATTCAAACCATGAATTAGAGTTTTAATCAATTTGCTGAATTTAAAAAATTAGTAGTAGTTAACGTATGTATTGAAACATGCCATGTTACTTCCAAGTATGTCACATTTAATGGAGCAAATTCAGAGAATTCTTCCAAAGACAGCTATCAACAGCATGATTCTTTAAGATGCTATAAAGGATTACTGAAAGCCATGAGAAAAAAACCATTTCATGGATCAGTTTCTGTGTTTGTTTCCTAAACAAACCAGACTTGTCTCAATAATTTTATACATAAAAAGTCACATTGATTTCCCTGATGAATATAAAAGACTAAAATCTATTGTCTCATGAAAGTATTTTCATATATAATTGTTTATGATAAGGTAAAAAATAATAAAATGTCTTATTTTCATTATGATTATCATATGTGCAAATTCACTAACTCTACTGGTTTGATTTAACAAAGGACCAAAATTACAAGAGCAAGATGATTTTATATTTTTCTTACCAAAGAAAAGGTTGTTTTTGCTTTGTTCTACTTATTTTGTTTTTAATAACGTGGTGGTCATAAGAATGAATGTAGGCATTGTAAAGGAAACATACGGTTTTAGAAAATAAGATATAAGAAATACACAATTTCAAGATGAAAACATTTTGTGGTAACATCTTTTACCTGAAGGCAGTCATTAGAATAAGGCCTAATAGTATTTAATCATATTTACCTGTCTCTATCTGGAGAATAATGGTCATCCATGACACGATGTCTATCCATTCGGCTAATTGTGTTATAATGTCCGGTAGTGGAGCGTGTCCCTCGAAGTCCCTGTTCCACATTCCGACTGAAATAGCAAGAGCTATTAAATATCTTAATAAACCGTAATCATTTACCATACTAAGAAATGAGGTTTATTAATATAGTAGAAAAAGACAAAAATCAGTATAATGTCAAGTCCAAGTATTTTGCTTTATTAATTGCATCTCTGGCTAACAGTATAACTATCCATTAGACTGAAGTTAGGAGATTAGTGCTATAACAGAGATATGATATAAAATTAAGCTAGTATCAATGAGGATAGAGATAAGGATTATCAAAACTATTAAAAGATGACTCCCAGGTCTCTAGTGATACTCAATGATATATGAAATATAGCAGGAAGATTTGCGTAGAAAAAAATGAGTTCAGCACGTTGTTTACAGACAATGTATTGGTAGATCCTATTTTAGTGATAATGATTCTTTGTTTTTTAAAATCTAAACTGAAGTCTTTAAAATCTATCAATGATGATTTTTTAATGTACCATTCTTGGCCTAGATTGTCTATGTACACAATTCCTTTTCACGATAGAATAAACCTTTTATGTAAGCTCCTGTTACAGTTCCTATTATGTGCACCTGAAGCTAATTTAAAACCTAAGCCTTTTTCTATTGGTGTGTTCAAATATTCTTTCCATGATAAAAATCAAGCACTCTTTCTTTTTTTTTTTTTTTTTAATGAGGTAGGGCTTAATTTATTAAAGTTACAAATTCAAACTCTAGTTCTCTCTTAAATTTAAATTTCAGATTACAAATCTTATTATTCTATTGATAGTTCTACATTTAAGAAATAACTTTTCAGAAAACTCTTAATATTTACTCCTATTTACAAACTTAGCTAACTCAATATCTTCAAATACTTTAAAGTATGTTTATAAACTAATTACGTTTTCTTTTTAACTTCTTCAATTACCTAAATTAAGTAAATGCTTTTTAAGTGTTTAATATCCTTATAGATTAAATAAGTTAAATTTATAAATATAATAAATCTTGAATTCTTTTAGATTGTCCAATACTATGCATAAAATTAAGATTATAATTAAAAATTCTAAGCCTAAAATTAACTCAATTATTCATATAAAATAAGCACTACAAGATTATCATTCAAAGAGTTCAAATTTCTTAAACACTTCAAGTATATAAAATGTGAATTATGCACATATTTCTTATTAGCAAATATATTATTTCCATGGCTCTTAAGTTAAGCCTTTCTGTACTTAACTGGACTGATCAGAGTTTTCCACTGGGTATAAAACCTCAAGCTACAGATTTTCTGAGCCATTCAGCCATTGTCCAAGCATTGCTTTTATTTTTCATATGATTGTTCCTAATTTTAAAGCCCCATCAGTTGTTTATTTTTTCCTATTTCTTAAATTATCAGAAGTTATATCATCCATGAGTATAATGAGTTTGGTTCTAAGCAAATTTACTCAAAACTGACATATGATCGAAAGCTGGATCTTCCTTATAATTTTCAACTTTCACAATAAAATAATATTGGTCAAAGTTATATTCTATATTTCATATTACTCTCATTATATGAGTTATTAAGTAGTATCTGTTTTTCCTTAAGTAACTTTTTTCCACAAGAATTTATTATCTTTAGAGGTTATTAATAATACTTGATTATAAATACTTGTAATATTACCCAAAAATAAAATGCATATGCTATCTTACCTTTGTGGAGGAGGGACGCTGGGTGACCATGACCTAGTCCTTCCTATAACATCTACTCGGTGAGGAGACCCTGATGGTGAACAATGGTTTGATGACATTACTTGTTCTGGCACTGATAATGTTGAGCTTTGAAGATCTCGACCATTGTGTCGATAGTCTGACAGAGAAAAAATTAAGTTTATAGTTATCTACACACTAAGTCCTTTTGTATTTTCTACTTTATTGAAAAACATGTTGGTGAAGTTGAAAGGTTTTGCATATGTTAAATGTAAACATAATGAATAAAGCATAATACTAAGACAAAATAATATTTTGTAAACACTTAAAAAGGAATGACAAATATTAAAATATTTAGATAGCTACTATGTCCAAAGCAGTGTGCTAGGGTAGAGTAAAACTTTTATATACAATTAATTATTTTCAATAATATACTCAAGTTTATTCTGAAAACATTTTCATCTTTTCAATGACCTAGGGAGAGCTTCAAATGCTTCTCAACAACTACAAATATTTAAAATTATTAACTTCACAGGAAGTTTCTAAAAGTCAACAGTTATTTCTTTAAGAGATAAGCAGTATTAGAAAGCACTCTGAATACCATTTGAAAAACCTATGTATTTTTCTTATAGTATTTGACAGGGCTGAGAGACAACAGAAATCTGAGAATAAAAATATGACAAATTGTAGGAGGAAAATAGCCCAATGATTTAATACACTTAGACAAAGTGTATTAGAGGTGATATTACTCAGATGAGTCCTAGAAAGCAACTGATATTTGATAGACATGGAGAAAAGTAGAAAGAAATCTAAGTTGGAAGAAAAATAGCAGTTCAATGTGGGACATCAGTGGGAAATAAGCAGTAAAGGTTAAATTTGACCCAAGTTGTATATACCTAAAATGTCATGAGGTTTGTAATGGAAAGAGCCTGAAAATTTCTAAGCAGGAAGTGACATCACCACCACCATTATCTTCACCATGCTCATCATGGCTACTATTAATTGAACTTTTACTATGTGTTAGGAACTCTGCCAGGAACTTGACAAAGTGCTCTGCTTCAACACTTGTATCAGAAGGAAACTCAGAAAAGGTATTGGTTCATATCTGATTTTCCCAACATGTTAACGTTTTCCAGTATTATTTTAGGTTAGTTTCCCTAGAAATAGAGCAAGAGCTAAAGATTTGGGTGCTTATGAATAATTGAAGGAGCGCTCTCAGGAGAAAGGAATTAGCAGAGCAGAAGAGTGCGTGAGGAGAAACTGAACAAAAATGTGGTCTCAGCCCGATCCCATTGGAGGCTCTGGAACCTGAACTGCCCCAGAATTGCTCCAACTTTGAGGCAAAGGTCCTGGACATCTGTACTTCTATGTTGGCTAGTCACTGTCACTGGCCAAAGACTGTCAGTGGGGAGTAGGTGAACTGTCAGTGGGGAGTAGGTGATGTGGGTTTTGTCTGTCTGAGGCCAGTTCTCTGGAGAATAGGGCAGCTGTGAGTTATTAGCAACCAACACTCATAGTAGCTGGGGTAAAGAGGATATGGGTGGGGTACCGACAGTGTCTACTACCACACCAAATAATAGCAACTGAATGCAAAGTACACTGACACAGCCGGATGCAGCAAGCCAGAGAAATACAGAACCATATGTGATGCTCATTCATTCCATGTTCCTTCCTCTTGCCTCACTTTGGTCACGAACTCTGTCTTAGAGGTGCTTATCACATGGGTTCTTCCTGATGTTCGTAAATAGTTCCCGATACCATAACTTTTCAGACTTATCCTCCTTTCCATGTAGACAGATTCCTTCTACATAGGCACTTTCATTTTAAAGTCCTATATTTAATATTTTATTGCTTAAAACTTAATATGAATTTTTAATTGTGCTGTATTTCTATTTTTAGTGTTTTGATTACAAAGCTGCATGGGTTTTGAATGATCTTATCTAAACTGTTTTCTCCAGACATCCTGTTGCTTTTAGTGCATGATTTTGCAGATCACCAGGTTTTCTTTCAGGAATACACAGACATTGTAATAGAAATGACTGCAAACAAAACATTATCCCCATTTTACAGTTGAAGAAACTGAAATTTACGTTAAGAAATTTACATTAAATATAAAATACTAGGGCTGGGATTTAAAACAAGATCTATCTGACTCTGATGCTCTCATTGTATTCTAATTACTCATGATCTAAGTAATAATTTAGGAAGATGAAGCTGACAGCACTATATAATTCAAATCACTGGTTAGAAATGTTGCAGCAAGATTAACTGCTCTTATCAAACTTAGAAATGCACTGTTTAAAAGAACTCTGAAATGATAGAAATGTTCACTATCAGCACCGTCCAATATGACACACATGACTGTTGAGCACTTGAAATCTAACTAGTGTTAAGGAACTGAATATTTAATGTATATATTTTAAATCAATTTAAATTTAAATAGCCACACATAGCTAGTGGCACAACTTTGGAATATGGCAATTAGTAATGGCAACACACTAAACAGAAAAAGTCAATACATTCATTCAACAAATATTTATGAGTGTATGTGCATGCCAGGTATTACTCTGTGTGCTACAGTGAGCAAAACCAACAAAAAGCCTTGCCCTTGCAGAACTTAAATTTTAGTTGAAGAGTTATAAAGACAAATAAAGGCTCAATAATTACATATATTTGAAGGTGATTAGGTGTTATGAGAAAAATAGAACAGGATAAAGGGAGATCAAAAATACCAGAACAGTGGTGGGGGGGCATTTTGCAATTTCATATAGGGTGGTCAGGGTAGGTGTATATATATATATATAGGACTCACTGAGAAGTTAACATTTCAGAAAGACTTGCAGGAAGTGGGATGTTTTGCCAAGCGGATATACAGAGAGGAGGGTTCTAGGACAAGTAGGAAGGCGCCAAGATAGGAATAGATGTGACATGTTCACAGAACAGCAAGGAGAACAGGGCTCTTGGAGTGAAGCAAGTGATGAAGAGATCAGAGAGACTGAAGGAAGGAGGAAGATCACCGACGGCCTTTTGTATTGTAAAGATTTTTGACATTTAATCTGAGTGATTTTAATCCATTAGAGGATTGTGAGGAGAAATTGGACATGATCTATTTTTTTCTTTCACAGGATCACTATACTGAGAACAGACCGAAAGGAAGGCAATGATTCTAGCAAGAAATGACAGTGGTTCAAACTAAGATAATAGCAATGCAGATGAAAGTAGTCAGATTCTGGATATATTTTAAAGGTAGAGCCGTCAGGATGATTTTGTGAATATTAGATGTTGGACATAGTAATAAGAGAAAGGGACAAGAACAAACCTAAAATTTTAAATCAAGTAAATAAAAGAATGGAGTTGTCATAAAAATATATGGTTCGGTGGGAAGATCAGGAGTTCAGTTTTGGATATAGTAAGCTGAAGATATCAACTACTTTTCCAAGTGGAGATGTCAAATGGGCAGAAGGGAAAAAAAAATTTAGAGTACAAATAAAAGGCCTCAACTGGACATTTGGGAGTTTTAGCATACAGATGCTATTTAAAAACATGAGACTTTAAACAGATGTGATCACTAGGAGAGTGAGTGTAGATAGAGACTAAGTCCAAGGATGGACTCTGGGGGTACTCTAATATGAATCTGTAACATTTTGTAATTACATACAGGACCAAAATACAAGGAAGAAATAAATGAGTTATAACTTTTGATAAATCTATGAGGAAGTTAAGAGTATACCACAAAGAGTAAGAGACGTATAGTAACATTTACCAGGTTTTGGGGAGAGATAATAGTATTTCAGGCATATAGGCAGGCACACAATTATACATATGGACAAGAATCTTGGGAAAGGCGTTAGGATTTTGTTGATAAAGATTAAGAGTTATTTATATTCTATATAGAGTATATACGAGTATATATACAGAAAAAAATATCTCTGACTACAGAGTTTAAGCAAGACTATTGAGAAAAAAATGAAAAGTTACTAAAAGGAGAAAAACGAATAATGCAGTCACATGGCGATTAAAAAGAAATATAGAATTTTAAGATAATATTCATGATTAATAATGTAAAGTGCTACTCAGAAGTGATAAAAAATGAGTACTGGTGATAATGGATTTATGAAATCAGGAGATTATAAGTGACTTTTAAGAGCTAATTATCAAAACCTCTCTACTTTCCCAATGGAAAATAAATTATTTACATTTGTAAATTGTTTCAGGTCAGAGTAGAAGATAATAATAAAAATTTATGTGGCTATGGTTAATATTATATATATGTATTCCATTTATTCGCATTGTGGGGTGAGTCAACTGGTTCAAAGAATAGTTAGTTTTTAATTATTCCCATTCTCCTTACTCAGTATACCATGGGGGAACAGGGGAGTTGGCAAAATTCACATCTGGAATTGCTTCTCTGAGAAACTTAAATTTCAATTTCAATTTACATGGAAGAATAATATTAGCGATGCAAATGTCAAAATGACCTCTGACTTGAGTGAATCAGAATAAACAAAATAAAGAGCACATGGTAAATATTACTTCTGGAATAGTTAATTTTCAAAACATCTGCTTTGCAAACTTGAAAAAATTTAGTAAAGCTGTAAAAACCAGTGGTCCCCAACCTTTTTTGGCACCACTGGCCAGTGCTCCTATAAGAATCTAATGTCTGATGATCTGAGGTATAGCTGAGGCGGTGATGCTAGCACTGGTCCATGGCCCGGGGGTTGGGGACCCCTAGTCAAAACAGTTCATTATTGAGAAAAGACAGCTTAGGTTAAAAAATGTTATGAATGGTTTTAACTGATAATCTAAATTTGACAGATATACAGTCTGCAATTGGAAACAAATCTCTGCATAAGGGCAACAAAGTATTAACAGATTTGCTGGTGCACTGACTTTTACTATTTGCTTATAATGACAGCATAAAGGTGAAGGAGGGTATGTGGTCCTGTGTATATGTATATATGTAAATTGCATTTGAAATTTACATATATACATGTGTATATAGGTATATACAAATTAAGAACAAATTCACAGAGAATACAAAATTATTTGCTTGATCTGGTGGTCAAATTATTTGATAAACTATTGATTGAAACATTTATTCTCTATCAAAACTAGTTTTAATGATGGAACTTTAAACCAAAAAGTAATAAAAGAAAATGTAAAAAACTTTTGTAACAGAATTAACATATGTTTAAGTCTTAGTTGTCATGACACTTATGTAAATATAATTGATACATCATTTATTAAAGTTACCAGCCTATGAAAAGATAACATTTGAGAAACTACAATACCATAATCGTGATCTTGATATTCATAGAAAGAATATGGAGATGACATCAAATTTTTAATGGTGACAGAATTCCCAAATTTGATGTCTTCTCCATATACTTTTTATGAACTTCAAAATAAGGATTATGGTATTGTAGTTTCTGAAATGTTATTTTTCAAATGTATTATTATAGTATATGGTGAAAAAACTCTCTCAAAATAACACTGCATTTCAAAAAAGCAAAATATAGGATATTACACAGCAGTCTTTTCTAATAATGTTGAAACAAGAAAAAATAATTTTTCATGATGTTGAAAAATAATGAACCCAGGTTAAATACTTTGAATTATGCAGGCTTTTAGACAGTATTAACCAAAATAATGAAAGATTCTTATGAAGCTATTTTTCAAAAAATATAATCCTTTTAAAATAATAAAATGATTCTATTTTTGCCACCCTAAAAAGAGAAAATGAAAGAATTGAGATGTGCTAAAAATGATGTCAACATGAAGAACTCTAATGACCTGAAGGAAATATTTTGGATAAAGAAAAACTGATGTAGCTATACATTAGTAGAGAAAAAGTGGAAAAATCAATTATTAAAGGAATAGAATACAAATAGAAAAAATTGTAATGAAAAGAAACATTTTTTATAATATTGAGTATAATGTGTATATGCATAACCCTTTTTTATAGAATTTATCTTTAAAAATGGATATTTACCTGTTTTAAATCATCAGATAATTTATTATTATAAATTACTGAATATATCATAATTTCAAAATGTAGCTGTACCTGATACTTAATCAACACAACAATGAAAAAATTTTCATGAAAAGGTAATTCAAATATTTGATATTTGGATATGCTGGTGATGTCAAAAAGATTTTTTCACATTGTTAGTGCAGTATATAAAGAAGGTTCTATTATACAACTTCCCAAATTTATAGTAAAATACTTATTATTTAGCAGCTTAAAATAGAAAATTTATAAGTACTCATTTATCTGACATCTTTCCATAAGCATACTCAATCTAACAATTAGTACAGATATTGCAGCAACTAACTATTCAGGAGTTTAAATTCTCATAAGGTTTTTAGAGGGGTAAAGAGGCACGTTGTTACTTTCTCGTTTTACTTATTTATTTACTATTTGTTAGTAAATAATGATGAATTACACTTCCCCATTATTATAAATTCTGAAATTCTTACCTGATACTACTCCAATTCCATCATCACAGTCATAGTCAGAGACTTCACTATCACTTATTCTCTTCGACCCTATGAATTAAACAACAGTAATAATTAAAATTGCTGATTACTAAGGAGGGGGAAAATACCCTTGCCGACCTGAAAAACAAATAAATGGAACACTTGAAAATAAAAAATATAGAGATAAGGATATAGTCAATACCATTGTAATAACTATGCATAGTGGCAGGTGGGTACTAGACTAAACAGGGGATCACTTCATAAATTACATGTCTAATCACTATATTGTACACCCAAAACTAACATAAAATAATACTGAATGTCAACTGTAATTGAATAAAATACATAAAAATACAGAGGAAAGTAATTATGAGCTTACAAACACATTTTCACACATATTTCATAATTAGAGATATGATTCTTGAAATAAATTATTCTTGAAATGTATAAGATAAAGTTCTTAAATGGCTTGAAGCTTGAAATAATATGAAATACTAAATAAAATATGTAAATGATTTGATGCTGATAAAATTTATTGGACAAAAACCCAAGTCAAAATAGCTAAGTCATGTCAGTTTTAGATGCTCTTATACCAAGGCACTTAAGTCTAAGTAAACTTCAAAACACAGTACATTCTTTCAAATGCATTCATATGTCTTTTTCTAATATACATGACTAATAAATTAAGTGTACCGAATTATTTATTTTTTCACACTCATGAAGAGGAAGCATAATTTAAGATATCTCAAATATCCTTTTATTATTAGTTTATTTATTGTCTTGAGAAGAAAAATGAGAAATAAATCATCCAGAAATTGATGACTATATCTAAATTTTGAAGTGTTATGTTTTCTAAGAAACATTTTGACAAAACAGCAAAAATTATTTTAAGTCAAGAGCTCTGGGTGTATTTTCACTGCAAAACAAATCTACAGCAAAATTTTAAAATGTTTATCACGCTATGGCAAAAACAGCATTGAAACGAATTTAGAACTTTGATGGCTAAAGCAGATGGTGTCTTCACACTTAATTATGAAATATATCACATACAAACAAACAAGCTATAATTCGTGTTTTAATATATCTTTTCTCTACATGTGTCTTAGCAATAGGCACATTCTACACAATAGAATCCTTTATTAAAGCATTTTCCCTTCTTTAGTATCAGAAAATGATGACAAATGAAGTGTTGCTATTTCAAAAAATGACTTCCTTTGTCTACTTACACTACATGTTATACATTAAACAGACTAAACTCAGTTATCAGAAAATAAATGCTTTCCTATAGATTGATAAAACACTGAAAGCTCTCGTTGTGTAAGGTGCCTAAAGTAGCAATATTTAAACATTCTATGAATGCCCCTACAATATTAGAAATACTCTATACAATTTTCTTTGTTTGTTTGTTTTAATCCCTGCCCTCTTGAGAGAGGGAGAGTCTTTGTTGCCAGAAACTGCGTTATTTTTTTTTCTCTCAGTGGTAAGGCAGAAGAAAACTATTTGCTTTGATCATGTAGTCCCACTGAATGAGCTCACTATTTTCCTTCAAAATCCTTATCTCATAAAACTTTAGACCCAATGAAATCTGAGGCTCTTATAGCCCCAATTGATATAGAAAATACAATTATCTAACAACATCCCAACGGACTAGGCATATAAGGGTTTATAGAATTAGGACGTATATTCTAAACAGACTGGGGAGAGAGGAGGGATAATGGATGAAGCTATTGAGAGATTAAGAATTGTTACTCAGCTTGTAACGAGGTTTCACCTTGTAAATGCTTAAGAACAGGATAATGATTAGTTTAATATGCCAGGTACACTACAGAGCATAAATATTACATGCTTTTGGTATTGGTCAAGAATCGGATCTACCACTGGTGTAAGATAATGACATCTGCAAAAAATTAAGTTCATTTTATCAGTCTTTGTGAGTGGTCTTGTGTGTTTGTGCATGGGGAATGAGGGTAAGGAGTATATTTGGTTTGTAAATGTTTGTAAATGTTTCTTCCTTCCAAATTTTTGATTACTTTCCAAAATGGAAGTCTTGATCTATTTTGCTATTAATTCTATGGAGGTTATATATATTGCAATTAATTTCTATTTGGATCTTTTATCACATTATGATGAATTCAAGAACTTGAGTTTAATGTCCTTGAATGTATTGATCTTCTCTTCTAAAAGCAGTGTTCGGTGTCCTGTTTAAGAATATTTTCCTGAGCTTATGAGGAGAGATATTCTATTTTCTTTTGAAAGTTTAAATTTTGCTTTTAGCATTTACATCTTCATCCATCTTGAAAACGAGTTAATGTATGGTATGAGAAACAATGTAACTGCTTTTTTACATGGATAACATATTTCAGCATTCTTTAATATTTCCACCTTTCCCCAATGATCTGCATGTCACCTCTGTCATACCTAATTGTATCTTATTTGCTAGCATCTGTTTGGTGGTCTACCTTTTTTTTTTCTTGTACGGGCTGTTTATCCATAAACCAGTAAGTCACTGTCTTTGTCATTATAACATTATGCTTGAAAAGCGAATCTATCATATTTTGGATCTTTCTTCTTTGTTCTTCCATATCAATTTTAGATTAGGTTATCAAATTGCACAAAAAGATCCCATTGGGATTCTGAACTTCTTTGAATCAATATATCAATTTAGGGAATTTCGGCATATTATAGCACTTTTATTATTAGCCATGAACATGGCAATCTCTCATTTTGGCCCCTCAAACTTTCCACATTTGTTGGATTTATCCTTTGTATCCTATAATTTCAATTCTATAAGAAATACTGTTAAAACTGTTTTCTAACCTAATTGCTCATATACAGATATATAATTTTATTTAAAATAATGTTAACTTACCACCTTGTTAAAGTCTCTCTTTTTATACTTCTAATAAATTTATTGTGGTTTAATTTCGATTTTTCTATGCAGACAATCTTTCTTCCTAATCATAATGCCCTTTTTCTTTTTCTTGTCTTTCTGTGCTGATAACACAATGTTTGCTGAAAATAAGTAGAGAAAATTTACATTCCTTTTTAAATTCTGATTTTAAATAGAATTTTTCTAATATTTGTCCATTAAAAATAATATCTGCTGAAGTTACATTTCATAAATTCAGTGATATTTCATTAAGGATTTTGCAGCTGCATTTACAAGTGATTCTGGCCTGTTAAGTTCTCTTTCTTATACTAACCTTATGGTTTAAAATTAAAGTTACTTATTCCATTTTTAAGTATGTGTGGTATGACATATTGACTCAAGGTGCATTGTTACATTTTTATAAAAATTTTTCACTTCGTCTAAGTTTTTGAAGTCTTTACTAAAATATTCATAATTTTATATTATATGTTCATTTTCTGATGTATCGATTATGTCTCTATTTAAATACTGCACTAAGTCCTAAGTCTTTTAACTTTTTCTTCTTAGGTTTATAAGATATTTACCATACATCATTAATATAAGACAACACTGAATGAATGTATGACAACTGCACAGATAATGAATCTTTTCAAAAATGCTCACTAGAGTATGTGTCTTCTTAAAACTTTCAAATGTTTGTGTTCAAATGTTTTTAAAAAATTGACATAGTAACACTCGAGTTCAAGAAAACAGACTATATTATGCTAATTTTTTGAAATTTTTCAAAAATAAATTATTAATAGCATATTAATAATTTTTACAAATGTTTCATAGATATAATGAAAGAATATGAATTGTTAGGTACAGAGGTCTTTATTTGACTATGAGATTCAACTCGTTAATTGTGTAGCTTATTCTTTTGTATCTTCCCCAAAGTTTTGTTTGCTTGACTTAGCAGTGACTGAGAAAGAATTATATTGGAATCTCCTTCACTGTGGTAAATTTGTTGATTTTTCTCTTTAGTTACTTTATGTATATTGAAGTAATTTCATTTATGTAGGAAATTTAAAATTATTTCAAAAGATGTAGAAAAATCACTTGAAAAAGTTTAACTCTCATTTATGATAAAATGTCTCGGCAAACCAGTAATAAGAAAGCTTCCTCAAATTTATAAAGGGCATCTATAAAAAACTCATAGCTAATAATAAACTTAATTAGGAAATATAGAATGCTTTCCCCAAGACAAAGAATAAGCCAAGAATGTCTATTCCAACCCCTTCTATTCGACACCATACTTGCATTGCAGAAAATACAAGGAAAATAAATGAAAGATACACAAATTAGAAAGCAAGAAGTAACATGACCATGTAAATTAAAAATCCTAAGAAAGCTACAAAAAACTTCAGACTAACAAGTCAATTTAGCAAACTGCAGGCTACACAGTAAACATATAAAAAGGAATTATATTTCTTAGAGAACAGCAATGAACAATTGGAAAATTAATTTCAAAAACACTATCATTTACAAGAATATCCAAACATGTGAAATACTTAGGAATACATACAACAAAAAATGTGTAAAACATATACACCCCAAACCAAAAAACAATGCTGTATTAGTATCCTAGGGCTACTGTAACACAGTATCAAAAACAGGGTAGCTTAAAAGAAATTTATTGTCTCACATGCTGGAGGGTAGATGTTCAAAATCAAGATGTCAGCAGCACCATACTCTTTCTGATGACTCTAGAAAAGAATCTTTCCTCGTCTCTTCTATCTTCTGGTGTTTGCAGCAATTCTTAGCATTCTTTCACTCACAGATAGCATCACTCCAGACATATGGCCATCTTCTCTCTGAATATCTTCATATTGTCTTCCCTCTGTGCATATCTATCTGTGCTCAAATTTCCACTTTTTATAAGAACACCAGTCATATTGGATTAGGGCTCACCCTAGTGATCTCAAAAATGAAAACTTGATTACCTCTGTCAAGACTCTATTTCCAATAAGGGCACATCCCAAGGTACTGGGGGGGTTAGGACTTCAATGTATATTTTTAAAATTGATGTATACAATTCAACTCATAATAACTGCTAACAAACTAAAGAAAATTTAAATAAATGGAGAGACTTTTCTGCAAAGTCGAAAGCCAAATATTATTGAAATAACATGGTCAGGATGAGAGAAAATAAAAGGCATTC